ACATACATATTGGGTGCAGATTTGGACTAAATGGTACAGGTGAAATATAACAAAATTCAGTTTTAAGTTTTTTCTCAAATGACCTTGGATAAATTTCTTTTTGTTCTGTATGATGCAGGCAAAAACTGCCCCCTACCTACCTTTTGAAGCTGTTGCAAGATTTATTAAACTAGGGGAAAAAACCCAAAAACTCTTTAAAGTTCTGATGAGATAGGAGTTACATAAATACAAAGCTGTATTGTTATCTCCAAGAGGTATATGAAGTTGAATTAACTTTTGCAACATCCTTATGAGTAAAGTAGATAATCTTAGACCTATTTTTACAGATAAGAGAGTTTAAGTCCTTCTTTAAAATGACTTAAATTGAATATGAGAAGAGATACAATTTCTGGATTCAGACCCAGGCCAGTATTTGTTGACACCTGAAAGTATTTTAAAGGGCAGTTTTTTTTTTTAAATCCCATCATCCCCTTGGTACATAATCAGAAGAGTCTGCATATTATTCTCCCTCACTTTCTTTCTATGGTTCCTCATGTAATTGATCTGAAGTGCAAGACACCTTGTCTCAATGGTATCCAAGGGGAGCCAAGTATTTTGAGAGCTATTAAAAGACATTGTTCTAATGACAAAGCATATAATGTGATTTAGTGCAGCTGAAGCCAAGTTATCCACTAGATATGGAAAGATCTAGGGAAAGGAGAAGACAGGAAACCAATGTGACAGCTCCTATAACTCATGCAGGAAGGTTATGTGTATAGTGAATACACCACTGTCTTTAACGTTAATCCCCACCCCCACCAAATAAAAGCAATATATAAATTGGAGAATACAAACTTTACCTTCAACCTGAACAACTTATTTTCAAAAGCGTTTCTTCAACATTACTAGAAATTATTCAAAGTGCTAATTGCAGTGCCTGACACAAAATAAATCACCAATAAACATCATCTGTTATTAGTTGGACTTGGAGAAAAAGTAGTATTGTATAAAACTGAGACCATATTAAGAATAAGATCATTGAAGTTTTCCTCTTGCACCAAATTGCTATGTGAATGCATAGTTGTGTAGAGGGATCTGTGAAGCGGGAACGATGATAGGACTTAGCTGAGATGAGGTAGGAAAATAATCAATCAATTAATTAATGAGCTGATGATACATGTAAAATCCTTAGCATGTTTTCTGGCACAGGGACACATCTATTGACCAAGTGTTAATACTGGAAGTTGTACAGATAAGGCTGCTACACCCATGTGGTTCAGCCAGCCAAATACTATTTATCGAGTGCTCCCAATGCGTCAGGCACTGAAGGACGCTTTGGAGAAAGAACAGATGAATACGGGAGATGTGTTCCATGTCTACATATGGTCTTCTGGGGAGTTTTAGCAAAAAGTACTCAAATAGAAATGAAGACTATCCTGTATGCTAGGGAGAAAGTAATAGGGGACTGACACAGAAAATGTGGAAGGAATTTCCTCTTGGATAGGGAGTCAGGGAAAGTCTCTCCAAGGAAGTACATTTAAAGGGAAGATGTCAAAGAAGAGGAGTCAGCCATGCGAAGTCGATGTGGTCATTGGAATTCCAGGCAGCATATGCAAAATTGAATGAGTTGAAAAAAAATTTGGCACATAGGAGGAAGGGATGCCCAGAATGGCTGGAGCATATGGGTGAGGGGGAAGAGAGGTGCCAAATGTGGTAGCATTCACCTCTTGCAGGCCTAATTGGCCATGCAAGGATCCCACCTGGATTTTATTCTGTTTGCAATGGTTAAGTCGGTAAAGATTTTCAAATAGTGGCAAGGAATGATATTTTCATATACATTTCAAAGATCACTTTTACGGTTTTGCAGGGCAAGTCATCTGAACTTTTCTGATCATGCCACACCAACTCGCATGTGAACTAGCTCCAAAATGTTCATATTCTCTCTCTTTCTGTGCATAGATAAAACACATTTATATATGTTAATTGGTAATTAAATGTTAACAAGGCTGTTTTCTTCCTACACACAATGAATTATCTTGTGGTACTATTTGGGTACTTGTGCCCCACTTTGGAGATGATAATTGCAGAGATGAGGTAGAGTAGAGCAGTTGCAGAATGGGGAGAGCAGTTAGGCTGTCGCGCTAGTCCAGGTGAGAAATGATGGCCACAGACGAGGTGATAGCATATCTATCTTTCATATGGACAATGAAAAGACTCCTTATTGAAATTACAGATCTATGCTCTCTACTGGCATTTGATAGCAACTATTTTCCTAATAAGCCATTTTTCATGCAGTACATTAATGAAATCTGTTGGGTTCCTCGGTGAGTTGTTGCATTGGAAATACTTTGAAATAGGCTAGCACACTTTCGCCCATGATTAGTCCATTTCTTGAAGTCTTTTGGAAAAAGAAAATAGGTTAGGGAATTACTGGTACCTTTCTTTTCTGCTTGTTGACAAAGGATCAGGGACATAAGAAATAAAATGAATTTATTAAAAAAAATTCTTGGAGCCAATTTCACCCACATCTGTGTAATATTTTTCTCAAATGAGTAATTAGAATCAGGCATTTAAAAAGCGCCTGCCCTCTATGAATTCTCAGCAAATGGATTGCAAATGATTTCATTTTAAACAGATTATTGTAATGGGTCTGTTTTAGAAGATGAGAGTTGTAAATGATTTGGGAAAGAAAAATCAGCTTTTTACCAATTCTTCAGGTGGAACTTCATTTTAAAATCAAACCAATCTAAATTTGGTAAGACAGTAATAGACTAAGCCCAGAAAATTTGAATTCACTATTTTTTTTCCATTTTGCATTTTCCAGTCCTATATTTGGATGGGAATTTATTCAGGTTCTGACTCTTTCATCTGTCTTTTCCACTCTTGGAGGAATTCTCACACACTCATCCAGACTGGAAAGGAGGTTAGCAGGGCATAGAAAGAAGGCATTAAGCAAACAATCCTGTAAAGCTCTGAAAACCTTTCTTAGGAGAGGAAAACAGCTGCCCTGGGTTTTAACAAAGAGCACTTGCAGTTTTGGGAGGAGGGGGGCCTCTGGCTCTCCTCTCCACCTTGAAGCCTGCCAGACAGTGTTCCTTTTTTAGGAGGATCCAGGCTTGGGTGGTTAAGGTGCTTTTGGAAGAACAATCTGTGTTTCCCTTAAAGGCAAACAGGTCATCTTTGTCTTTAAGTACTCACATTTAATGACTAAGTAGTCTGCCCCCTTGTAGTGCATATTTCTTGGATTGGGCATAAGAACAAGAATCTAAGTTCTTGTTTGTGTAACACAGCTCTGGGTTGAATTGATATAAGGGAAATTCCTCTTGAACAGTATCAAAAAGGGTATCATTAATCGAAGAATAATTACCACTGCTACTTTTAAGTTGGCCCCATCACGAACTCAGAATTCAGATTTTTCAGTGTGGTTACCTTTGCAAGTGTGAAAATGAAAAAAAGAAGTAATTTTAAACTGAAGATTGTACTATTCTGCGTGGCATTCATTTATCTAATCAGTAAATATGCACTGAATAATTTAATAGCTACCATGCCATAGGGAAGTGCTGTTAGGCACATGAAGACTACAAAGAAATATGAAGGTATTTCAACCCTTAGAAGCAAACTTTCCATTCGAAAAAGGCTTGGATTTTGAGAAATTCTTTGTAATTTTCAAAGCCCATTCACCTACTATAAATCTTCATCTGAACTTTTGAACAGTAGCAGGGGAGCTGGGCTGGGCAGACATTATAATCATACAATTATAGGATTTTAGGAGTGGAAGAGATTTTTAAAGGTCATCTAATGCAACCGTTTAATTTTAAGGCGTAGGAAGCTGAGAGATTGCCACTTTGTCAGAGGGCCCACAGCAGACTAGCCGCCGAGCATCCAGCACAGACTTGAAGTTTGCGGATAACACTCTTCAGGCACGTGCTCACAGCTCTGGGCCAGGCGCAGAGGACGCAAACTAAGTGCAGCACCGTGCCTCTCTTCCTGACCTATAACAGACTCCCAATAGGTATTCATCGAATTAACGACTGACAGATATTCCTACCGCATAGGACCGTGTGTCGAGCGGGGGATAAAAAAAAAAAAAAAAAAAAAAAAAAGGCAAACAAAATAAACGGGCCACTTGTTCCAAGTTGCTCCCAATTCCTGGCCTCGGTGAGTCAGTGGTCTCTTAGGGAAGCCGCGACAGACGCCCACCAAGATGCGGGAAGACTGGATTCAAGCACAGCGAGCGCTTTAGGAGGTCCGGGAAGGAGCCTAAGCGTAATAATTGATAGGAGAATCCCCCAAACACCGCACACGCACACGCACACGCACACGCACACGGTCATTTAACTGCATCATTCTCTGCCGTGGCCTTCCCGGGATCCCCCCGGGCTGGGACCGCAGGCTCCGCTTCCGCCGAGGTCAGGACGCCAGCTCGCGGAGACTAAGCGGGGAAAGCCCAGGAGGCCGCCCAGCCGCCTCGTCTAAACGGCTGGAAGAGACGGGAGGGAGCGGGCGAGGGGGGGAAACGGCGGCGCGGGCCGCGGGACACGACGCCGCGCGAGGAGGCAGCCCCCGCGCGGCGAGCGCCCCGAGCCCCGGCCGGCCGCCCCCACGGGAGGGGCGCGCGGGCGCTGCAGCGAGCGCGGAGCCGGCGGCCGCGGGGGCGCAGAGCGGGCGGCGGCGGCGAGCCCGGCGAGCCCAGGGGGAGGGTCGGCGGCGCCTCCCGTCCCCGCGGCCGCCCTCGCCGCGCAGCTCGGCAGCGGGACGCGGCGCCCGGAGCCGCGGCAGCCCCCGCCCCCCCTCCCCCCCTCCCCGCCTCCCGCCCGCCCGCGCCCGCGCCCGCGCCGCCCGCGACTTCAGTTCGGCTCCACCCCCGCGCGGCGGCGGCTCGCTCGGAGCGAAGCGCGCTCGGCACCAGCCCGGCCCGGCGAGCGGCCGCCGCCTGCGCCGCGCCGCCTCCGCCCGCCCCCCGCGCGCCCCAACTTGGATGGACTTGGGGTCCTGAGCGCCCGCCGCTCTCCGCTCCCGCGATGGGAAAAGTTGGCGCCGGCGGCGGCTCCCCAGCCCGGCTGAGCGCGCTCCTCGCGGGCGCGGGGCTCCTGGTCCTCTGCGCCCCGGGCGCCTGCGGCGGCGCCCCCCGCTGCCCCGAGCTGCCCTCCGGCCCGGCCCCGCGCTGGGCTCCGGCCCCGGCCCGGCCCGGCCCCGGGGGACGCCCCTCGCCGGGGCCCGCGGGGCAGAGCGGCCGCCACGCCCCTGCCCCTCCAAGGGCGCCCCCTGTTCGCAGTGGCCCCCGGGGACCGAGCGCTGCCCCTGGCGCGGGCCCCCGGCTCCCGCGCGGCCGCCGAGGTCGCCCCGCGCTCGGGCCGGCGGAGGCGCAGGGAAGCGGCTCCGGGCAAGGCTGGCGGCGGGGGGCGCGCGAGCCGAAGCCCCCGGGGAGCGCTGCGGGACGGAGCGCGGCCCGAGCCCGGGACTCCGGAGCGGGACCCGGACAAAGCCACCCGCTTCCGGATGGAGGAGCTGAGGCTGACCAGCACCACGTTCGCGCTGACGGGCGACTCCGCGCACAACCAAGCCATGGTCCACTGGTCCGGCCACAACAGCAGCGTGAGTTCACGGGGCGGCAGAGGGCAGGGGCGGAAGATGCAAAGGGTTAACGCGGGCTCTGTGATCCGATGGAGAAATGGGGAGGGGGTTTCTGGACTTGCGAGATGCTGCAAACTGAAGTCTTCCCTGCCCACCCCCCCCCCCCCCGGGAGCTAATGTCACCTATCGGGAGACCCATGGCACCATCAGAGTCCTCTCCAACCCCCCTCCCTGAAAGCTTCAAACAGGACACGCAGATCCCCATTTCCTGGTCTCCTGGGCTGCAAAGAGCTGAAAACCAGGCAAACCTGGGGGGAGGTGGGGCGGGAAAGTGTTTTGAGTGTGGAGGTGAATGGGTTAAATTTCCAGGCAGGATGACATTCCTTTAAGTGACTTTGCCTTTACTTGCTAGACTTAAGGGTGAGCACAAGCGAGATGGAGAAGACTTTATTTGTAAGCTTTTAATTTTTCTGCAAAGCTCTTCACCCCATCTTCCCCATAAGGAAGAGATATGCAGCGGACACTAAGGTGCCCTTAATGTATCCTCTGTTTCTGGGGCCCAAGTGGATGCAAGTTTCAGGAAGGGAACTCTCTAGCATCTTCTAACAGCACCAGCCAGTGTGTTTTGAGAGCTGGGGCTTTCCAGCCTGTGAATGAGTGGTTGTTCTCCGGCATGATCAGTCCCGGGAAGATCAGATATATCCCAGCGACAACAACCCCCTGTTCTTCCCCATTGCCTGACCTCCTCTAGAGAAGAAGAGTACAAAGAAAGACTTAGATGTCCCTTTTATGAGGGGACCAGAGGGATTGCTGGATCCCAGGAGGGTGACACTGGGGAGAGCGGCTGCAGGTCGGTGAGCTTTGGCCACCTCACGGGGGGTTTTAGATTTTTAGAAAAGCCTGCGTGTCTGGAATCTGGGGTAGCTATTCCAGCTAAAAGCGCACCTGGGAAACTTGAATGAGCTGAAATAGTAAAGATCTAGCTTTGATGGTAATAACCGAAGATGATTTAAAAGTGTGGAAAGTTCTCTGAGCTGCCGTTTGGCAGACGAGAAGAACATGCAAACCAAGGATGGGTAAAATGGGGAGAAAAAAAAATCAGAGTTTTCAGCTTCCATCAGGTTATTGAGATTGTAGTATTTGTAATATGCACAGTCTGTGCAGCCTGGTCCCTTTCAAAATGTTTTTAGTTGTGATGTCATTGCCAGAAACCTTCCCCGGGAAGCGCCGCTTGAGTGAGTTGTGCTCATTGTCAGCTTTTTAATGAAAGTTGTGAACGTTTTAAAATCATAGTCTGTCATTATAGGTTCCTCGGGTCTATAGATATAAACTGCATTAAGGCAAACCATGATAAATAGTATTTTTTGCATTGATGTCTCTGTCCTGAGAGCATCAGCAAGGTTTTCCCTACAATTCAGGTCTCGGACGGAGGCTATGGTTTTCTCTGGTTCTCAGGAGTGGTTTAATCAAATAATTGAAGCTGAAATTCTTTCCATTCACGTTCTGGAGACCCTTGCCCTCATTTCTTACCTTAACCATCATATCTCTCATATCATAACCACTAAAATTAATCCCCCAATTTGAACTTGAATCTTCTTAAACCGATTGAATAACTTTCACACTGCTTTATGTGATTAACTCAAAGCTTCTGGCTTTAAGGGAGATTTTAGACACATCAAACATATTATATCTTGTTGTATCAAGAAGTAAAGGACATTGGACTCAAAATATTTCTGGCTTTTAATGTAATTTGAACTGTAAAATATCACTCATCCATTAGACCTTTACTTTAGTTCTCATCTCTTGAAAGATCTTGGAAAGAGCTGGAAAAGGAGAGTACATCTTTGGCAAATTTTAAACTCCATTTAAGAAATGGCGCCAAGCACTGCCAGCCTTTTTTTTTTTTTTTTTTTTTAATGATGCTTATAAGCTCAGTTGGACTTATTAGGGTCAGGGCTTGGACCCGCAATATGCAGGGATGTCTGAGATAATGTAACAGATAATCAAGGTAGTGCATGTTCAAGGTTTGAGCGCTCAAATCATGTTGCTAGTGAGATTTCTACCCTTTGAAGTATTTAATTCTTTAAAGAACCCCCCTGCTCCCCATCCCTGCCTGTTTACATACAAATTGCAGGGGTTTTAGTATATATATGCAGCTGCTAGAGGGAGAGCAATAGTCTTTATCCAGGTCCCACGAAACAAAGCTGGCTCAGATTCACAGGAGAGACAAAGTTTAACCGTTGTTTTTGAAGGAAGGAAGGCAGAAAAAGTTTTCTGGGCAACTTTGTGATGTGAAAAAGCAGTGTGGGGACTTGAGTTCTAATTCTGATTGTTGTGTGGTTTGATCTAGGCAAGTTGATTGCACTCTGAGTCTGAATTTCCTCATCCCCAAGATAGGGCCCATGCCAGGTCATCACCTGCCAGGTTACACATGAGTGCGTCATGACCGTCAAGTACTGGACACCTGTTTGGATCCCTCAACAGCACTTGGCTTCTCCCCAGGGCAAGAAATCCACTAACTTAAACCTGAGGAGAACATCTTGGGGCTCTCATTTTCTTCACATTTAGATGTCAGACCCCAGTCACTCCATCCGCCCCCAGCCCACTCAGGGCCACAGGCAATACACATCCTCTGAACCTCTCTCACTTTTAGCTAAAAGCCTTGCTAAGTAGGGTTTCTGATTACAATAACACCTGCATTAAAGGTGTAAATGTATGGTAATTATAGGCTGCCTGTCAAACTTGTGAGGAATTCTGGATATTTCTCTCGCCTCCTTCCCTTCTCCTTCCTGCCCCCTCCGCTGTTGGACTTGTGCAGTTGTGTAAAGACATGACTGTTTTGCCTCATCCGTGGGAGTGATGTGATTCCTCTATACTGCAGTCTAGCTTGATGGAAAGTGTTGCTGGAGTTGGTGGAACACCTGGGGGGATCTTTTGGCATGAAAGGTGCTGGGTATGAATCATTTGTCATGAGCTTGGTGTCGTAAGCAAGAACATATTGTTCCTACCCTACTCATCCTAGGCATGCTGTGCCCTGATCTAAATTTATACCGTAATCCTCAGTTTGTTAAAATACATATTTGTCTATATATGCATGTGTGATGGGGCATGTATTTTTTCTTTATTTCCAAGAAATTTCAAAGTGCTACACTTATTAACCCTTATAGCATCCTTGGTAGGTTAATAAGTAAGTGGCAACTGTTAATATCTATTTTTCATATTTTTATGCTGGAGTCAATTTGAATATTTAAGTTCATTTCTTTGTCCTTTGCTCACTGGCAGTGGTGTTACAAGGTTTGTTAACAGAGGCTTTTACTTGTATTTTGCCATTATGATACTTGAATGCTGGATTTGTATGGACCATGATGATGGCCTGGTTGATTTCCACCTTACCTCTCTGCTTCCAGTTGTTCTGGCACTTGACGTTTACCATCCAACCTTAGAGAATAAACTGAGTCCCAACTTCAGTCAGTCAGGTTTGGGGTAGTTGCCCTACGTTTTATCATCTCACTTAATTTCAAAAAAAAAATTGTCCTGAGTTGATATTTTTATTCTCATTACATAGAGAAGAAAGATGAGACTCTGGAAGCTAACTTAGATGTAACAAAGGTCAGTGGCAGTTTGGGGCTGGCACCCTGAGTGATATGGCTTCTAAACATCACAGAGTGGCTGGCCCGTCTTTAAGGTTTTCAGGTAGGACAGAAAAACTCAAACCTCTTGGGAGTCGGTATTTTAAATAATCCTCTCTTGGGGTGGCTTTCAGATGATGGTGGAGGAGGGCACTTTCTTAGCTGGGAGCCCCATCTCCTTGTAGAAAGGCAAGGACTTTAACATGAGCCTGTCACATTGCACTCTTTACCTTAAGTAGTGATTTGGTTGTTCTCTTATCCGCCTACCTCTTCATCTTTAGTGAGACATGGAATCTGCACCTGGTGATTCATTGAGCACGAGGTAACCTGCCATCATTCAGTTCTCGGATCTGGTGTTCTTCAGGAATAGATTCCTTTTCTAAGTTACTTACAAATCTGATTCTATAGAGAAGTTGTATATAAACACTTGCTTTGTATATTTAAACATTTTTTTACCTTTTTTATGAAGTAAAATGATAAATGATTTTAGCTTTCCCTCACAAGCCCACATAATTCCTTCTGATCAGTGCTTTATGCTATTAATGAACGTTAATATGGTGTGACATGGAAGGCAGTGGGTTTGGAAGCAAATTTGAGTTTGAATGTTAGCTCTCCTGCTTGCCACACTCTACCTTGAACAAGGCAATTAAATTCTTTGAGCTTCACTTTCTAGGATGTCTTTTGCAGACTTTTCCCGAAGATATGACATCACATATATGAAGTGGCTGATATATAGTAAATGCTCAATAAATGCTACTTGTTCTTTTTGTTGCAGAAATAACTCTATTGGCAGAGAAGAATACCGAGTTACAGTCTTGACTGTGTAAAAAAAATAGATATGGGGATCCCTGGGTGGCGCAGCAGTTTAGCGCCTGCCTTTGGCCTAGGGCGCGATCCTGGAGACCGGGATCGAATCCCACGTCAGGCTCCCGGTGCATGGAGCCTGCTTCTCCCTCTGCCGGTGTCTCTGCCTCTCTCTCTCTCTGTGTGACTATCATAAAAAAAAAAAATTAGATATGTAGTCATAATGTATCCTGTTACAATTGTGTGGCCTCAGTTTCATCCTCTCTAAAAGGATGCAGACAGACCAGAGCACCACAGAAATCCCTTACAGATTAAAATTCATTTATTAGTTTGCTCAGCCTATGGATATTTCTATCTACTACATTTAAGTAAAGTGCACTCGGAGTGTTGGGGATGCACAAATGACACAATGACCCATACCCATGACCTACAGAGAACAAGCCTTTCATCTCACATGATTCCTCCTTTTTCTAAGGTTTATGTGTATATCTACTTATAGGAAATCAAAACATTGGAGATCTAAGCAGGCATTCATTTCAATGCAGATTTGCAGCAAAACCTAAAAACCTAATTTATTATGTTTACTGT